GGCCAGATAAAGATGTAGTTTAAAACACATGATACAGACGAAATCACGCCGTAAATGGATTCGTTCCTATTTCTGCACACGATATGTTCTTACAAAACTGACAGATTATGCCATGATTTATGTAAATGAGGTCTAACTGCAAACACTTTTTAAGTATGAGCATTTTAAAAAAAGGCTAGGAATCGACATTCAGACGGGTATTCGATTTCTTTTCCAGAAATAAACTCTTTCCGGGATAATAGAGCTAAAGAAGTCTTCCAAAAATTGTTTACCCCGTCGGAGCCTACAATTTGGTTTCGTGCTTTTTTATTAGCTCACCTGAGCATGCTCAGGGTGAGCTTTTAGGATCGATGATTGTCCGTCGTCCGTCGTCCTTCACATTTAGTTGTTAACACTCTAGCGATCGCATTTTTGCCTCAATCATCATCAAACTTGGTCAGGATGCTTATCTAGTTGATAGCTCGGATGAGTTCGAATATGGGTCATCTCGGATGAAAAACTAGGTCACAAGAGCTAAAAATAGAAAAACCTTGTTAACACTCTAGCGGTCACATTTTTGCATCAATCACCATCAAACTTGGTCAGGATGCTTGTCTAGGTGATTGCTTGGATGAGTTCGAACATGGGTCATCTCGGATGAAAAATTAGGTCATCGGAGCTAAAAATAGAAAAACCTTGTTAACACTCCAGCGGTCACATTTTTGCCTCAATCATCATAAAACTTGGTCAGAATGCTTATCTAGTTGATAGCTCAAATGAGTTCGAACATGGGTCATCTCAAATGAAAAACTAGGTCACCGGAGCTAAAAATAGAAAAACCTTGTTAACACTCTAGAGGTCACATTTTTGCATCAATCATCATCAAACTTGGTCAGGATGATGGTCTAGGTGATAGCTAGAATGCGTTCGAACATGGCTTATCTCGAATGAAAAACTAGGTCACCGGAGCTAAAAATAGAAAAACCTTGTTAACACTCCAGCGTTTATATTTTTGCCTCAATCATCATCAAACTTGGTCAGGATGCTTGTCTAGGTGATAGCTTGGATGAGTTCGAACATGGGTCACCTCGGATGAAAAAATAGGTCACCGGAGCTAAAAATAGAAAAACCTTGTTAACACTCTAGCAGTCACATTTTTGCATCAATCATCATCAAACTTGGTCAGGATGCTTGTCTAGTTGATAGCTTGGATGAGTTTGAACATGGGTCATCTCGGATGAAAAACTAGGTCACAGGAGCTAAAAATAGAAAAACCTTGTTAACACTCTAGCGGTCACATTTTTGCCTCAATCATCATCAAACTTGCTCAGGATGCTTGTCTAGGTGATAGCTCAGATGAGGTCGAATATGGGTCATCTCGGATGAAAAACTAGGTCACCGGAGCTAAAAATAGAAAAACCTTGTTAACACTCCAGCGGTCACATTTTTGCCTCAATCATCATCAAACTTGGTCAGGATGCTTGTCTAGGTAATAGCTTGGATGAGTTTCAACATGGGTCACCTCAGATGAAAAAGTAGGTCACCGGAGCTAAAAATAGAAAAACCTTATTAACACTCTAGCGGTCACTTTTTTGCCGCAATCATCATCAAACTTGGTCAGGATGCTTGTCTAGGTGAAAGCTTGGATGAGTTCGAACATGGGTCATCTCGGATGAAAAAGTAGGTCATCGGATGGGTCAGGTGAACGATCTAGGGCCATCATGGCCCTCTTGTTCAATTCATACATTGGTAACCCGACAAAAACATGGTGTGTAGTTTGTCGTCCATTTGTCATGTAGTATATAATTATTTATTTTGTTTGGCTTCAATGCAATTTACGAGTAGAAATGATCAAATCTTGTAATTTGCATGTCGCAGTCCAGGAACGGTGACAAAAATGGTAAAGTTTCATGTTCTTACAATAAGCAAAATGTATTTAGGCCAGGTGAAAACCCCGTGTATAAATTATACGATTTCAGTAGAATATTCTTTTTCCCCATAGACTTAAACGATGTGAGTTTTCTAGGAGAATGAAATGCCTGTCACATTAAGATGATCTGTCAGAGTTGCAAAGTGCTTTCAAAGAGGATACATCCCTACTCCTGCCACCCACCCCCTTCTTTTCATTGAAATTTTCTATCTATTACAGGACTGACATGTATACTTTCTAAAACCTAAATATCAAAGTCTAAATGTATCCTAGAGACTATTTTCGTATTCTTTAGAACACAATGAATGTAGTGTTAGACTGTAAACCAATTTTGTATACTTAAAACTATCACTTTTTAATTCAATCACCATTTGGTAGGATTTATCCATCTTATCATATATTTGTTCCTTTTATTCTGAATTTTTTTTTGTTGTTGTTGTTTTTTGTTTTGTTTTTGTTGTTGTTTTTTTGTTTAGAGAAATACATGTAATGTTCCAATAACCAACAACCTTCTGGTTTACGCGAATCCCCTGGTCGATTTATGGTGAAGGGCGTGTTATTTTATTATAGAAAACACATATCTTGTTATAAAACAGTAAAAATTTGTTTCAGAAAAATACCTTCTTCTGTTTTCAGAGGAATATATGCAATATCCGAATTACCAACTACCTCCCAGTATGTAGTTTGGTATTCTCGTGAATAACCAGCTGAGTCTGGACATAGGGTGACAGGGCGTTTCAATATTGGAGAACACATCTATCGTGCTATATAATTGTTATATTTATTCCGGAAAAGTACTTTCTGTCTTGCGTGGAAAACATCTTAAATTCAAATCACTCACTACTTTTTGGTAGGTAGTTTGGGATTCTCGCGAATCATGAAACATGCATGAAATTAATTTAAAAAAAAAACTGTTCTAGTGTTATCTGCTAGTTGAAGGCTATATCCTTTAATAGACAAAGAATTTGATTGTTGTGCTGAGAGGTGTTACTCTGGTATAAAAAGTTGGGAAGAATTGATGCTGTTATAAAGAGGTTTTTGTTCTTCAAAGGGATGTAATCCAATAACTTAAATATTATCGACGTCAGCATAGTAAACATTCTTGAATCAACGTAATAAAAAGCATATGGAAATGTTCTATATCAAATTGTGCGTGCAGAATGCACAAAGATTATCAGCGTTTTCGTGCAGGGTCATTTGTTGTCGATTGTAAGTGGCTTATTTTTATTACCAATAATTATGCAGTGTGCTGTGTTATTGGAGAGTTGGTAATTTGGTTGCGATTTAGAAAGATTAATAAATCTATGTGACATGTATTTAAGTCACACAAATTTTAATCAGTGGATGTCTGGTTTATTTTAAATTTGAAAATAAATCTGATAATTAAAAACAATTTTTAAAAAGTTTGCTACAGCACACACGCACGCACACGCGCACACGCACACACGACAATACATTCAGTTTGATATATCTCGCAATGAAAACTGACCAGCAGCTATTCAATGTAAAAAAAGAGAACTGTTAAGATTTCAAGTATCGCAATTTAAAAATATTTTCCTAAGATTCCCTGATTAGATATTTAATAGGCAGTGAATAAAAATGACTCGAACCCGGATTATCTCGGTCTCGCGACGAGTGTTCTACCAAAAATAAATCCATTCATATTATTATTATTAATACAATTATTATAAAAAAAAATTATTCAATCAGATTAAATATTTCTTTAGAACGAGAAAACTTTATATAAAACATGTATATAAATGTACAATAAAAGATGGAAAAAACTAAGAAAAACGTATTTTCATTTAATCGGCGAGAAATAAAATTTGATCTCGTATACCAATCTCGGTTTTCAAATTAAAAGTGACGTTCTTGACAGTTTACTGATTGCATTAGCTATATGGCTAAATTCAATTCACGTCTGCAATATTCACACTAAATCAATATCTTATATATGGCTAAATGCACGTCTGAAATATTTTACAATAAATCATAACTATAGTGTGGCTATTGATTTTCACTCTTAGATGTAAGTCCTTTTCAGAATCCTTTGTAATAATTCACGTAATTACCAGCGCCGCCTTATATACAATATAATGTCTTACAATACAAATACACAAGAGGCCTGTATATATCAGAGCTTGTAACATCGTCTATACCATTGTATGATTACTAATGAAACATATTTCTAATGAACCTGCTTAGCTTTGAATTTGGAATAGTTCATTTAAAAATTAAGGGATTTAAAATAAAAAAAATGTAAAAATTGAGATACTAAAAGTATAGAGCCTGGTCATACTGCACGGGTCTATGCCGGTTGGTCAGGTGTATTCCCGGTTCTGTACCCGATTAAGCACCGGATATATACGGTAAGTGCCTATGTTAACCCTGTGTATACCCGGTTGATCCCGGTGGAGACCAGATCCCGGTAGACTTAACCGTGGCAAACCGGGACTGTGAAAAAAGGGCATTAAGTTAAACATTGTTTCAAGTACTGTGTAATAAATAATTAGTTTTATGGTATTTTTAACGAAAGATGTGTATTGAAAGACAGTGGCGGTCTGGAAGTGCTTATAATTAAATATAAAAATGGTTATAAAAATTTATAAAAAAAACGCTCGATATTCTACAAGTACAAAAAGGTCATTTGGTAAATTAGATCTAAGTCGGGCCAAATTTCCACCGTATTAAAATCAGCACTGGCATATCCAAGCTACCAATCAATACTTCATTCAATCAGAAAATTCTGATAAACTTTTACAATATCTGTTCTTAGGTCATGAAGGTTGATCTATTTCCAGATAGACCCTTCGCAATAAACAGCAGATGGAACTTTGATATATGATCACGTGTTACAATCTTTTTGAAAAAAGCATTTTCAAAATCTTTATCGAAAGCATAAAAAAGTAAAGTGTTACAGTTAACCTAGATCTAATTTAGTTGATATAAGATTATGTATATTTTTTAGATTTCAGGAAAAAAATACACGATTCAGCAGATTTTTTTACAAGAAGACAGGCAGTACTGATACAGATAAAGAGAATTATAATCAAGCCGACACTAGAACATAAATATTTATAATGTTTAGCGCATTGAATTGCAATGAATTTTCAGAAAAGTTCGTTATAGAAGAATAATTCGGTTACAAATTACAATTAAGCCATTATTGTATTTCTGAACATTTAGCATTTATTTGATTAGCAAAATAAAAATAACCGATAGTTGATACTTTCTACTGAGACAATTGAATTATGCAGTGTCTGGCGGGAAATGCAGATTTCTACGGAACTGGAAGCACGTGAGATGGTTTTACGGGAAGTCTATGAAATGAGCCGCGCCACGACAAAACCAACATAGTGCGTTTGCGACCAGCATGGATCCAGACCAGCCTGCGCATCCGCGCAGTCTGATCAGGATCCATGCTGTTCGCTATCAGTTTCTCTACTTGTAAGCGAGTTAATAAGCGAACAGCATAGATCCTGATCAGACTGCACGGATGCGCAGACTGGTCTGGATCCATGCTTGTCGCAAACGCACTATGTTGGTTTTGTCGTGACGCGGCTCAAATGTGATTCACTAGGATTTCCCGTCAGACTTTCATATCGCTTTTTGTTGCCTTTGGGAGCTAATATTGATTTAAAGAGTGATCTAGACGTCGAATCTAAACGAGCTCTGTGATAATGCTGGAAACTTCTAGTGTTATATAATGGAATTACTGACACGTTCTTCTGGATATATTTTTCTCGTCTTTATTTTCTCATATATTACACAGACAGGTGAGTTAAACACTTTATTAAATATTAACGTAAATTATGCCTACAGGTAAACCATTCTACAAAGATGCTGTTCCGTAAACATCTGTGAAAAGGAAAGTACATTGTATTCCTCAGCAATACCACGAACAGGTTGCTGAAATACATGAGACTTTAATATCTAAAAAAAAATCGGATTTATTGGAAAAGGTGGACATTATCATGTCATAGATGTTATATTGGCCTTGAGGATGAATATCATTTTATATGCTTGCCCTTGTTTTCATAGCCTGTGAATTTAGAACCATAAAATGTATTATCATATTTTAGACCATCTATATTCAAATTTATATAGATCTACTACCAACGCAAAATAAAACTAGTTTAATTAAGTTTTTTTTTAATATATCCCAGAATCTTTATCATAAAAAAAAACAATCATCAACTCTTAACACAACCTTTTTGTCTTTTTGCAACAACTTTTTGCTTTTTAAACATTTTTTTATTTATTATGAAAAAAAGAGTTTAGCTTGTACGTTTTTCACTTGCCCTGTGACTATGATTAATTGAGTGGTTGTTAACAATGTATAAGTCTGTAGAAAGAATTCTGTTCTGTTCATGATAAGTATTATGAACATTTGAGCCGCGTCACGACAAAACCAACATAGTGTGTTGCGACCAGCATGGATTCAGACCAGCCTGCGCAGTCTGATCAGGATCCATGCTGTTCGCTTACCAACCCTATTACAAGTAGAGAAACTGATAGCGAACAGCATGGATCCTGATCAGACTGCGCGGATGCGCAGGCTGGTCTGGATCCATGCTGGTCGCAAACGCACTATGCTGGTTTTGTCGTGACGCGGCTCATTTGTTACAACAGTAGATGGTAATTTTTTTTGTCAGTGTAAGTCATTCATACGTTTTGATATTTTTGTAATCAATTTTTGTATTTCAAGTAATCAAATATGCAAAAACTGGATTTTGATGAAATGATAATAATAATTATAATAATATAATCATACTGGATAACAGATAATAACATATAGTGATACAGACATTATCTAAACTTTTCCTTGTAAATGTTCACTGTTTAATCTAATAATGTTAAAAGATGAAAAAAAAAATATCACAGTTCTTGTATATCAAATATTTATGTATTCACATCAGATAATTACTGTGCTAATTAATACAACGGTTACTGATAACAACACATTTTAATTAGACCCCGACGAAAACAACTTCTTCGTTCTATACATTTATTTATAACTTAAATAAGCTTATATCGAATTAATGTTTAAACAATGTCAATATAACAAATAAATATAGATCAGAATAAAGTCCACATATTTAAATAACAGTTATACATGAGTTAAATATTGCAACAAGAACACATGTTACATAGCCGCATTTCTCCAGCGATATTTAACACTAATAAGTCCCTTAAGATGAGATATAATACATAAAAGCCAAGACAATTACTGACATTTCTGGTAAACTAGTTATGTTATTGATTTATCATACAGACGCTTGTATTATTAGTGCTGCAAATAAGCCTACTTTACTAGCCTATTTTGAGGGGCAACTGGTCTATGTCAGCCAACAACAAGTTTCATGTACCAAATTTTTTGTCCTGGAATGGATATTCATTTGACCCAAACCCGATACGAAGCTGCATGAGATATCCAAGATGGCGTCAAAGATGGCCGCCAATTCCCTAAAATTCTAGTATATTGATGTTGGCTTATTTCTTTTTCAGTTTTGTAAATCAATTGAAATTTTACATTAAATTTCTTATTTTTAATTATCTCATGCTATAAATTTTGACTTTATTGCATTTTTTTCTAGTTTTCATCGTCTAATTTAAACGACAGAGGAAAATATGTTGCAAACTGGGTGTCCTTTTCGTAATACATTGTATGTCTAACTTATTAGTTCGTTTTTGTTTAAACAGTGTAACCTTCATTATTTTGTTTTATACAGCTTTACAAATGTATCTACACATTAGGTTAAGGACTCAGTTGCAAGTTTCTCCTTCGCCATAAACATTCATTGTTCGACTTCAAATATGATTTTTGGATTATACTTGTAGGTCACTTTTCAAGACCCATCACTCGAGCATTTATTTGAAAATAATTGTATCCATTTATTTTCTTAAAGCATTACTTGGACAAGATTTATCTCCACAACCATCTAGGTAATGCACTTGAAACTAAATCATTATTGTAGATTATTTCCCTCTAACATGTTTTCTTTTAAATATACTACTTTGTGACATAAGAGAATTCCTTAATTATGCAGGCTGTTAATTTTGAGTATTCGAGCGTGCTGTCCGACTTAAAGCTCTTGTTTTAAGGCATTGGCTTAACATATGATAATCTACAATTTAATCATACTTGGTGTTTTGCCATTATGATTTACGGATATGATATATTCATTAAAATGTAAAATGTAATTTTCTAGAAAATTTGAAATGGGTAGGGAATTCTTTTTACAGTTAGAGACCTTCCTGCTAGACTGGATCTGAATAATGAATAAAATAGTATTGTGAGTGAATTGAAAATAAATATTATGAGGCCAGTTTCATTTTAAGCTCGAAGATTAAGGAGAACTATCATAGTCACCCGAGAGTCGCGTCGGCGTAACAACTTACGTAAAAGTTTGCGTACCACCTCAACTATTTTCAAAGTCCATAGACATATAACTTTAAAAATATGGATTTGAAACTTTGCACTTTTGCACCATCGTGCCTCCAACCTGTACACAGTAGGAGGCAACTCTATCAAGCCTTTTGACAGAATTATGCCCCTTATTTTATTTGGAATGTTTGCGTATCACCTCAGATAATTTCAAAATTCCATAGACACATGGCTTTGAGACTTTGCACATCTGTTTACATCTGTTCACCATCATAATCTTTTTTACAATTCTATGCTCCATTTTTTACTATCAAGCACTGAGCATAGTCAAACACCCTGGCCTACTGACAGCTTTGTATATGATTTTGACCAAATGCATTTTTTTTCAAGTTCGTTGTTAAATTCATGAGCTTTCAATTGGACGAAAATAGCTAAACTTTTCCCTGTTGGGTACTTGATAGTAATACTAGGTGCTAGGGGGCTCAGACGGTAGCTTGTACGTTCCAGTACCGTCCATGAATAGGCTCGATCAAACCGAGCCTGCAACATCAGGCAGCAGGTTTCAAGTGTTGTGTGGCAGCCGTAAAAAGTTGCACCTTACTTAATTTTAGTGTTATATTTATAGTTTCTTTGGGATTATTGATTGCAAATCTTTTATAGTTGAAGATTGAATACTACTTAGCCGGTACTAAGAGGCGTGAGAGATGTTGCAAATTACATTGTCTCTCATGAACAGACTACAGACCCATCAAACCGAGTCTGAATTATCAACTTTGCCTTGTTTAATACTCTTAAAGGATCTTCTCTACAATCATAATGCCAATGACATGTTAGTGGCCTAATACTGATACTGATTTACGAGAGCGATTTTATGTTAAGTCTTACCGGAAGTTATACAGTGCATAAAATAACACTTCCCACTACATAGATGATACCCTGAACATGAATAATCCTCATTTTGATCAAATTAGATTAAATAAAATCTTAAATATATCCAAGTGAACTTAAAATGAATTAAACATACTCTTTATCCTTTTTAGATTTAAACATTTCTATCATTTACAATATCATTGTAACTAAAATCTATGTTTTTAAATACCTTTAACTTTTCACAAGTACTTCATGCAACACCATATGGGGTATATACTTCTAAGTTTATTAGATTTGCCAGGGCCTGCTGTCGTGTGGATGATTTTAATGAACGATTTATTACAGGAAAACTTCTTCAACAAGGCTATCGCTATCATAAATTACGTAAATATTTTACATAGTTAAAACCATCTTAATTCAGGTATATTTTAAAATTCATTTGTACTTTAAAAATCATTTACGACTGGGTATAATCAAGCCTGATTTTCTATGGAGATGTGGTTTATAAACTTTCAATGATCATGGGTCGTAGTAATTTTATAAGAGGCTATGACCCAGTTATTTTAAGGCGTACCGCAAGCTTGGTGCTAAAAAATTTTCCATTTGGACGCTTCGCTTTCATCTCTTGATTTCATCTGATGGATTAAGCGGAATACTCTATAATGGACAGTTCTAAAAGTATCTGAATTGTATTAATTTTCGTCTTCTGTCTTGCTTCGTTGGCTCTGGTTGGTGATTTTTTGTAATAAAAATGCCAAGCTGTACGATTTGACCAGTAATTCATTAAATTACCAGAATCAAAATATCATATTCATTGTTAAATATGTTAATGTGTTACATGGACTGCATCATAGAAGCTATAATTTGTCAGAAACACAAAATAAGGGGAAATAATTGATAGAACAAATAAGTACGAGTTACAACATTACATTTTAAAACTATTTTAATGTGGCGCCTTCCATTTTATATGTCTTACTGCTTAATTACAAACAAACATTTCTTAGATATGATATGAATACATTAAAGCACTACTTTCATCATGAGTACATTACAATAATGGAATAACAAAATAAGTCATAAATATTTCTCTGTTTAAGCATAGACAAGAGTATCATAGCAAGAACCCATACGTTTGGCATTAGTTTGCTTATTTATGTATAAAAAAGCAAAACACAATCTGTTTTCTCCAATGAAGTAAAGACTCTTGGTATATATTCCGTGCAAAATTGCACTTGAAATACAAAAATGGAAATGAATATGAGTCAACATTAATATTCTAGAATATTTAGGGATTTGGCGGCCATCTTTGACGCCATCTTGGATTTGTAAGTTTCTCAGAGGACTTGAGCCAAATGAATATTCATTGCGGAAACTACAGACATAGACGAACAACTTGGTATTTTAAACTTGCTGTTGGCTGACATAGACCACTTTTATGTCATTTTACCCTATGAATTTGCAGCACTATATTTGATTTATCATACAGACAGTTCTTTTATTGATTTATCATATTTCTCATACAAACGCTTGATATTTGATTTATCAAACAGATGCTTATTGATTTATCATACAGACGTTTGTATCATTGATTTTCAAATACATGTAAAGGCTGCTCCTGAAATTGAAAACTATTATCTAAGTATAGATTAATCAATATACAACCCGAAGCACTGGAATTACCTATGAGCTTACTAGTAACGTCAGTGTCTTAACATTTCATATAATAATGTTAAATCATTTTATAATTATCTACTACCTCCAACGTTTCGAAGCATTAAACCCCTTTTTTCAACGAGTTTCTGAAACTCCTTGAAAAAGAGGGGTTTAACCCCTCGAAACGTTGGAGATTGAAAAGTTTGTGTAACCACGGATTTATATTATAATATAAAACTTGGTGTTGGCTGACATAGACCACTATGTCATTTTACCCTATGAATTTGCAGCACTATATTTGATTTATCATACAGACTATAATAATATAAATCCGTTGTGTAACTAACTATTTCCAGAATGATTTTATATCATTTTAAGCAATGATAAGTTATAAATAAAAATGAATACAACTGTGGGAAAGAAATTAAATAAACAATAGGCTTCGTTTGATTGCATGTTTCGCTTTAATGAAACCTGTTATAAAACATTCATTGCATTAATGAATATAAGTATATACTTTAATAAATATTTAAACATATAATATACTCATTTGCCAAAGAAAATTAAATTTGCGCTTGAGCAAAATATTGGCAAATTTGATATCAGAATTGGCAGAACTGTATTGACCACAAAAATGTTTACTTGGTATTAAAATTTGATAATTGTTGTGAAAAAGCGGAAGGACGAAAAGTAAAAGTTGTAGATTGTGACTTTTTAACGCCATTTGTCTAATTACACATTTACAAAAATCCCAATATATTTTTCACCTCTCAGCTCCTCTCAGCTGTTTACAAGTACTATGTTATTAATCGAATTTCAACTAAATGTTAACCGTTGTTGTCATTACATTTTTCACAAATTTTGATACCAAATATATGCCAATATTTTTCTTAAATAAGTATACAAAATTTCACTATCACCAAATGCACACTTTTTTTTGCAAGTGAGTATATTATTTCAAATATTAACATACAAATCCGTTGAATTGATATTCCCTCAGTAAATGATACAAAGCACTTGAATGATATGACATAGATATAAATAAGGTACTTATATTGCCAATGTCCACAACAACAATCACGGCCAAACAGGCCGAGCTGAAGCAAAATAGCTTTATATACATGAATATTAGATGGTATTCTATTCTGTAAATTGACACAAAAATGAAATAATGACATTTTGTGATGTCTTTTGATCATTCACTATCTTATATATTAGTATATGTTACTAAAGTATTCAAGTGGGGTGAAAATTTGCAGATTTATGCTCGACCAATTTTTATTGAACCCAGACCAGGACTGGACATTATTAAGATTCAAATAATTATTTTTTCATTCTATGATATACATTCATGCTCAATTTCATTACATTCCAACCAATTACTTATACAGTAAAGAATCAAAATGGATTTTTTTCTTAAAATAATTATAGTAAGGAAATGCCATGACTCAAAATTTCATTTTAAGTTGAAATTGGATCATCCAGTTCTAAGATATAAATCCGGACGTATGGTCGCAAGGACGGACGCCAAAAAAATGTTTCTTTACCCCCTTCTGATTGTATTGACTAAGTAAAAGAATGAATCAGTTTGATACATTTGAATGAAAAAGAAATACTAATTTCTTCTAGAATGAAGAAAAAAAATAAGATCCGATCTGTTTTTATCTTATCTTAAATTTGTCATGATTACGTAATAGAACATTTTACATTGAAAGACTTTCAAAGAAGTTAAAATCTTGTATTTCAAAGTATTTCAAAGTATCAAGTTTGTTTCTGTTAATACGAACAATTTTCTACAGCAAAAAAGCTAAATGTAAAATATGTACTACAACGCAAGCCTGTGAGAACTATTATCTCATCTTGTTAAAGTATACATGTTTAACCTGCCAATACAGATTATTTAATAAGATTCACTTGACCTTACGACTGTTTTAGAACAAATTTTAGACACTAATTAGCTAAATTGATTCAGTATTAAATTATTTATCGGGAAAACGTGAACCTGAATCAACACATGTTTCTTCTTTAATTTCTGCACTTTATTATTGAATTGCAGCTGATGTTGTTGTTATTATAATGGGAGAGGCGATAAGATTGCTGTCGTCGTCGTTTTTAACATATTTGTAATTTTCAGATAATTTCATCAGTAGAGAATTACAACATTTGTTTCTCCTTCTACATAAATATTAACCGTAGAGATCGTGATTAAATGACAAATGTCGAGTGAGTCATCTTATACAAAGACGAGCAAATAAGAGTTCGTGCTTTGAGTCATAATTTAATGAGTGATGTCGCGTTTTTTATGAGTCTGTAATTTTTATTACTGATACCTAGATGATCGATGGCTTTTTTGACACAATGAAATGCATCTGTTGTAACATATCTTGCACTGAAAACCAAATAATATTCCTATCCTTTATATGTCCCCATTTGATTTTGACGTCAACAACATCTTACGTTATTGGGAACGAATAACGTGCAGGTTGATCAATGCATTTTATGAGTATAAAAAATGCTATAGAATAATCGAAGATATTTTATTGTAATAACATCGTATATAAAATATGCAAAATGCAAATTGCTTTTTTTATTCCACTGAAAGTTAGCAGCAGAAAGCCTTGGAGTATTAAAAATGTATGTTTTATTCATCGTTTTAGACATCTTCATGAAATAACAATTTGCTGCTGTATTGATTTAAAACATGTATGCCAAATCACTGAATCCTGAGTTCTTTAACAACGTGCATGTGTAATCAGCACGAGTACTGAAAGTATTTTGTTTGTTTGTTTTTTACTAATAAAGGTTTTTAATAAACAGTTATATAAAACAATTATTCATTATATCAAATGTAATGCAATAAATACAAAAATAGAGAGTTACATCTAAGTATTTCATAGTGGCCATTTAAAACATTACAATATTTTATTAAAACCAATTCTACAATTATATCATGTACATAAGTTTTATACTCAGTTTCAATGGCAGCAATAAAATTTCGTCGTTAAAGGCACATTATGCCTCAGAAATGAATAATTTTTACTTCTTAAGAAAGGGCAAACAAATAATGGTTTTGAGAATGTGAGATGCTTGTTATCTGAAGAAAGTAGTGATAAACGTGAAATAGTTTGTCACAAAAGTAGCAAAAGGTAAACATAGTTGTATTTTGAATTCCATACGAAATACTAGCTAGTTTACTATAACTGTACTTATTGCAAAAAAGCAACAGATGAAAAAGATGGTTCAGATAATTGGTCAATGAGCAAATTTTTGGATACTTTAAAAGTGAACTAAAAAAATGGGAAAAAAAACAACGTTAAAAGCGTTTGAGGCAGACAACAGACCGTCGAATATATGCAAACCTTATTTACGTGCACTAATCTATTACCATGCAGAACAACCTGATTTAAATAAGCTTCTATTTGAAGCTGCGCTAAATGTAAACAGAAGATCTGAATATTGCATGCAGTAGAGATATGGCTGTTCTGTTTTTGCTTTGTTCCCTTGTAAATTTTATTCATTCGTAATTATAGATAACTAGATTGTCCCCAGTCATACACTGGCATGATGAATAAATGAATTGTTTACAAATTATTCTTACTGGTGCTGGTAAAGCCAGTTGAATTGGATTTTATCCTCTCGGGTATAATTCCAGTCTAGATGAAAGTTTCGCTAATTACCAGTAAAAATGAATAATTTAATAGAAATGATAAACTTTGTGTGCCTCTGAAATTAATAAGGCTATATAATGAGTGTTTCTTTGCTTTTAGTAATCTTTTTTACAATTCTATTGCGAATTAAGTATGTATACGTTATAAAAATGTTCGTGTCTCCTTCCACCTCATGGTATCCAAAGACAGAATTAAGCATAATATTCTCTATACACTTTTACATTATAATTCTGGGAAAAATCATGTTTGTAATTGTGTTGTTTAAGATGATATTATCTTGTTTCAGCGTGGGCAATTTGTATAGAAACATGCACTGAAAGTAATAAAGCGGACACAATGACAAAGTGTCAGTATCCGGCGTCCTTGCTGGAAGATGCAAAAGATTCTGGTAACGGTACTGCTGTATGCATGTAGGTATCTCTAAACCTGTTGTTTTGAAGACTGCGCGTGTGCTTGAAAATAAAGCTTCCGGTCCAATAACAGGATTACCTAAAGCCTCCAGTAATTTCTGATTTTTGTGGAATGTTGCCCTATATATATATGCCCCTATTCAAGCTTATTATAATTTACATTGTTAAATTCTATAGTGATAATGATAAAGAATATGACCAATATAATACGTAAATTGGGTATTAGAACAATCACGTGTCATATCGAGCGTGTTTTGAGAGGCAGGTAGATAAGAAAGCGTAAATTTTATTTTATTATTTATCAGTAAAATCTAATGACTGTAAGAGAAAAAGTGAATACATTATTTATAGATATATTTTGTATTTTATTTTGACGCTGCTTTTTTCAGTCGTTTTCATCGACTTCTTGAATGTGTAGGGAAAAAGGTGCCACAGTGTTTGGACATTATAAGTGAACAATACGAGGAAATCACTTTCTCACCTTGGGATTGTCATTTATCTAACGAACAAATTATCTCATATCAGCTACTGGTAGAAAATGGGTGTGCATCTGCATCAGAATCAGAACCGCAGTCGAATCCCGAGAATAACGTTATGATTACAAGTGAGTTTGAAAAAAAATCATGATATGCTAATTAATGTGTTTTATGTTTTAATGTGTTTTGCGTGTGCAGTAACATGCATCAAAATCACAGCTTTGTAAAAAGATTTCAAAGGTCTGTTTCTTTTTCCAGTATTACGTTTTAATCCAATATGAAGTTTTATTCAACTCTCAATAGTCTAAAAGTCAGCTCTTGTTTGAACATGTTTTTACCTCATTATATATAATGTATATGATACTATCTTATACATGTATATGTTTTGTTAGTTGTTATTGTGTTTTTGTTGTTGTTTTTTTCTCTGTATACGCCAACAAATTAACGTGAATATAATTCAAACTATTTTTCATGTTTTATATTTCAGGCTCGCACAGTGGACATATTATATTTGGCAGTGTTGTTGTTTATATGTTGAAATTCTAAAGACGAAATTTTCCTCGCTGAGGCAGTCGCAGTTGTACATTCCTATACAAAATAAAAAGATATATTACTCCTATTTTATCAAGATATGAGATTTAAAGTGAATTAGAGATCGATAAGATCTTAGATACGCTTGTACCATGTATACAAAACAACAATACATTGTTAATATTGGATATTTACACGTAGAACAACACTAGTGCAATGAAATGTAAATACTAAAGTAACTTTTTCCCATTGTACGAGTATGTTGCGAACGACCTACTGCATCGATGTATGTTTTTTTAATTAAGGTCTGTCCAATTAAGGGTTTTTATTAAATATTTTCAATAAGGCATTTAAGCTCGGTTGTAAAACAGGTTAATTCTTACAGCTTATACATTTGTTTAAAACCTCTTAGTCTTATCTGTGTTGGTGTCATATGGCGAACTAAGTCGAATATGACTCAAACCCAGGATCCTTGTGTTGAGGGGAAAAAACTTTAACCACTAGGTTACTGCGCACTTACATAAGTTGATGCGTAGCTTACCGAGAGTGATGCAGTTTGAAATCTGTGTAAACAGTAAAATCTGGATTCTGAGATATAGCATCTGTTTATTTTAATGTATATCTCCTCGTGAAATGTTACGTTGTAATTTGATTGTTGTCCTGTTTGAAAACAAACATATATTTAGGGTCAATTGAAGAAGTCAAGTATGCTTTGTTTGTGTAAGTTTATTTCTGTTTTGCATTACTGTAAAGTTTAGAGAACATGAATATTTTACATGTTACTCATAATGTGAGTCGTCAGCATTTTCATTATATCATTCCAATATGTTTTTTTGCAATAAGAAAATATGTAAATTTGAAATAAAGCTATAACTTTGCTAGTTCTTATATTCGATTATATTCGATATATTTAACAGTATTGTGTTCATATTTATTAACACCACTTTATTTATCACTTGCAGCCTTCGTCATATACTATTTTTCTTTTTCAAAAACAGGACTGATATCATTGGCCGCCAAAAGATACTTTAACAAGAGCTGTCACAGGAGACAGCAAAGCTCGACTAATAAAATACTGGACGCAGAAAGTAAGACTAAACTGTGAGAGAAAAATTATGAATTAAGTAGTAAAAAAATAACATTTGTTAACATAAATTCCATAAGTTCAAGGGGGAATAGTTATGGAAATAGTCACGCTAGAGTTATGAACTTTTTCACACAACATGTGTATAATGATAAGAAATATATATTTGAAGTTTGAGGTAGATACCAAAAACAAGTAACGAAGTTATTAAATATTTCTTAAAGAAAATCCTAAGTTCAAAGAGAGATAATTCTGAAATTATCACACAAGATGTAATTGATGATAAGGAATAAGTATTTGAAGTTTGAGGTAGATATCTTTACCACTAAAGAAGTTATAGACAAAAAAATAACATTTTTCAAGTAAACAAGAGCCGGTTGAACCGGGTGATGCTCCCCGACTAGGATTTGGACACAGAAAAGTATATCTTTTGTAGTTCCAGAGTTATGTCCCAGACAAAGTTCAAAGTGTGATAGTTCCAAACTTAGGCAATGCAGAGTTACTTTTCTTTCACTGCACTTCTACTCAATTAGATCTATCTACCGACTTGCGCGCGACACGTCGTCTCAATATGGTGATCATTTCTGTGAAATAGTTGTAAAATCTGACTTCAAATAACGAAGGTATGGGCCGGACACCATTTGCTTCAAGGTTATGCTGTGACCATGACCTTCAAGGTAGCGACCCAAATGTTGCGCGCGTAACGTCGTCTCAATATGGTGATCATTTCTGTAAAATAGTTGTAAAATCAGACTTCAAATAACCAAGTTGTGGGCTGGACACGATTTTGCTGCAAGGTCAAGCTGTGACCTTGACCTTCAAGGTACCGACCGAAATTTGCGCGCGACACGTCGTCTTAATATGGTGATCAAATCTGTGAAATAGTTGTAAATAACGAAGTTATGGGCCGGACACGATTTTACTTCAAGGTCATGCTGTGACTTGACCTTCAAGGTAGCGACCCAAATGTTGCGCGCGACACGTTGTCTCAATAGGGTGATCATTTCTTTGAAATAGTTGTAAAATTAGACTTCAAATAACACAGTTTTGGACCGGACACGAATTCGGGACGTACGGACGGACAACCCGGCGACTATGTGCTCCCCCGAAATTTTTCGGGGAGCATAAAAAATCTAAGTTTATGGGGAGATAATTCTTGCAATATTGGTGCTAAGTTCTGAACCTTGTCACATAATATGTGGTTAATGATAAGGGACATATATTTGAAGTATGAAGTTGATACCTTAAAAAATAAATAAGTAACAGTAAAAAAAAAAATTTTTAAGGAAAATTCTACGTTCAAGGGGAGATTAATCTAAAAATATTTGTGCTACAGTTATGAACGTTGTCACATAACATGTGGTGGTTGATGATAAGGAGCATACATTTGAAGTATGAAGTTGATCCCTTTAAAAATAAAGAAGTAACAGTAAAAAATACTATTTCTAAGGAAAATTCTAAGTTCAAGGGGTGATAAATCTGAAAATGTTGGCGCTAGAGTTATGAACTTTGTCATATAACATGTGGGTGATGATAGGGAACACATATTTGACGTACGAAGTTGACCCCTTGAGAAATAAAGAACTAACAGTAAAAATAGTATTTTTTAAGGAAATTCTAAGTTCAAGGGGAGATAAAACTGAAAATATTGGTGCTAGAGTTATGAACCTTGTCATATAACATGTGGTTGATGATAAGGAACATATAATTATTTGAAGTATGAAGTTGATCCCTTGAGAAATAAAGAACTAACAGTAAAAAATTGTATTTTTTTAAGAAAATTCTAAGTTCAAGGGGAGATAAATCTGAAAATATTGCTGCTAGAGTTATGAACATTATCACATAAGATGTGGTTGATGATAAGGAACATATATTTGAAGTTTGAAGTTGATACCTTAAGAAATGAAAAGGTTATAGAGTAAAATATTTTACTGAACCAAAACTGTAATCGCGGATGCCGGGGCGAGTACGACAGCTCTCATAGTCGAGCTAAAAACTCGGACACAATACAAAATTCAATCAAATTGACAAATAAAATAGAACTCCAAAAAAAACAACAGCAAAAAAACAACAAAAAAATCACTTAGCTAATGAAAAAATATCGTTGTTTTCATGTTTCGGATATATTCTGTAAGTACCCCAAAATTTTGTAAAAACAGCATATTCAAAAAGAACTATTTAATTTGAAGATAGCTCAGTAAATATATCATTTCGTTTTTATGGTATTTAAAAACTGAAAATATATAGAAAATTAACTAGAGGCAATCATTGCTTCTGTCAAGAAAAACATGTAACAATACAAAGATTTTTTTGTTTTCAACCATTTTTCAAGATAACAAACCAACAACAAAAGTGAAAAAATAACTAATAGTGATATCTCAGACTATAATAAAAACATTAACCTCGGGAATAGAACGTTATCTGAATCTAGCAGACTCTGTGCGGATATAATTTATTCATTGATTGTGATAAATCTGTCTATGATTAAAATATCTCCATCATGTTCAAATGATTTATAACATGAAATATACTCGTATTTAACAAAACATATTTTCTGGATAACTGAAATCTTATTTCTTTCTTTGCTTGTCGAAAGAAACCCACACAGTGAGCACTGGAATAACTCTATACTGACAAGTCTGATGTAAAAGCAATTACAATGGAAACAATTTCAGTCAGAAACCTTTTAATCACTTTGTAAATATCCGGGTTTAGTTTTGTCATTTTTTTTTTATTTCAAATGCAATATAATTTTAAACGATTAAATTAACCAATTAAGAAATAAATATATCCGGGTCCAACGCTTAGAAATGAGTCGTTTGTATAATTGAGGTGCGGAAAATATATAATGAAACAGAACATAGAACAGAACATATCTTTTATTTCTGATTTGTACATAGTACATCATCATATACATAACATAATAATATTCAAGTAACAGGTACTTTTCAGTGCAATCAATATAAAGAAATTATTAAAATAAATAATATAAAGAGATTAATAATTGTAGTTGTAACAATTGTCATTGTTCAGATATTTGTTATTAAGCCTCAGTTAAGTGAGGATGAACATATTTAAGAAGAAAATCAATTTCAAAACTAATTTTTAATATATCATTAAACTTTATTTTTAATAAACTAAATTTTGATCTATCATTGAACATTATTTAACACTGTGTTCTAACAGTCATAGCATTTTTGTAATATAGTGCTAATTTACATAGCTCATTTCTATTATTACTTTGCAGCAATGCAATAAATTTGTACATACTTGGGTTAACAAAATAATATCTTTTAATATAAAGGGTACGAATACTTGTATAACATGGACATATAAGAACAAAATGAAATTCATCTTCTAAGTCTCTTAAAGAACAACATTGACAATACCGTTCATTTCTTTGTATTCTATTTCTAGCATATCTACCAGTTTGTATTCTTAAGCTGTGTGCAGAAGTTCTTAATCTAGTAATAAGTCGTCTCAAATGATCAGGCAATATATCGAAATAAATTTTGTAACAAAAACTAATTTTACACACATTATACTCATATAATTCCAATACAGAACTTGTTTCTTTAGATACATGCCACCCCTATATAAAACAATCAATTAGCCGTTGTCTAAATTGTATTTTATGGAGTCCGTTTCATCATGTTTATTAACTATGATAAGTTGTATTGTAATATACTTTCACTCTCCTGTTATTTGTAGATCAGTTTATATGAAAACAAAAATTAAAATTGTATTGATTTGTAACGCTTTAATCATGTGCAGAATATTTAGTTGTTAAATATATATGTGTTGAAGATGATGTACTATGTACAAGTCTGAATAAAGATATGTTCTGTTCTGTTCTGTTCTAAATATCGGGATAAAGTTTTTAAATACAATATCATGTGGGTTATTCCAAACATCTGAAAAACCATAGTCACACAAAAGCTTTTTAACATAGGCTACCCAGTTACATAATCCTTTATTACAATCATTTAATGATAGCTGGTAAACTGAGCGTAAAATAATATTGTCTGTGGTGCAGCAACTTAAACCAATATTTAACAATGCGTACATAACGGGATACGAACAAAGGATATCTTCCCAACTCTCCATATACACTAACAGTACAGGTAGTATTTCTTACTGACAATATATTTTTACAAAATTTTAAATGTATTCTTTCAATTTGTTTTGATTTTGTACATCCCCATATTTCTGACGAATAACTCAAAATTGAGCCAACAAAAGAATCAAATAGCTGACATAATAACTTTGGTTTAAAACTATACTTTTTACAATTTAAAAGCAAAACATTAAAACATTAAGCGCCTTTAAAGCTTTACCTGCAATGTATTCCTGAATTAAAGTAAAATTTCCGTTGAATTGAAAACTGTTCCTAGATAATTAAAATTATTCACTACTTTAATGTCATTACCATCATATGTCCAAAACTCATTTCCCAGTAAACCGCCATTTTTCCTTAATACAACAATTTTAGTTTTATCTGTATTTACTTCTAATCCCTAACTTTTACAATATTCATATAATCTATCTAAATGCATTTGTAATTCTTGAGGCGATTTTCCTAATATAACCATATCATCAGCAAATAATAGTAAAAGTAAGATAATTTCTTCAATATCAAGTCCAGAACTAATGTTATCCTGTAAAAATAATTCTAGGTCTTCTACGAACAGAGAAAAAAGTAGTGGCGACATTATCTCCCCTTGTCTTAAACCTACAGTATACTCAAAATATGAGGAATAATCGTTACATGATCTAACACAGG